CCAGGACGCTTTGACATCTGGGGGCACAGCCACCAGTGGTTCCACTGTTGCACGTTTTTGTCCATCCTGGATGAACTTCACATGATCAAGGCTGAGATTAAGGCCATCTTGCTGAGCCCAGCGTTGCTGCTGCCCCCCACCTCCCTCTCCCACCTCCCTGGACCCACCGCTGCGTCCACCTACGGAGTGATGCTCCTCCTCCAGACCACCATTGTCTCCATCATCGTATGGTTCTCCTGGCGGGCCAACTGTATCTATGGATCCCAGAGAGAACAGCTGGAAAAGGAGCACCCCAAGAAGCACCTGAAATGTCACTGATCACGGAGAAGTCACCGCCATCATTAGACCCGCCGTATGTTCCCGCCCCCTTTGGATTATAAGGATTATATGTTGAGCTCACATGTGTGGTTGAGTGCATATCTTTGCCAGTTCTTTCCCCAGAGCTGCTCCAGCACCTCCTAACAGGACGTCTGAGCGCTGGGACAACAACTACCTCTCAGGGCTCTGCAATTATGGTTGCTGCCCAGGAGAACTAATGTTCCACTTTACGACTGGTTAACATGTTAGACGTTAGTGGGACCATTAAGAACATTTGCTGATGAGCCGTCTGCTGTTAGGTCCTTTTTGTTCTTCCACCTCCGTTTGTTATTTCGAGCTAAAACGGTGTGTTGCTGCGGCCTGTGCCGAGCCCATTGTTTCATGTCCAATGATTCCTTTGATAACATACCTTTTCTTCCTCTTACTTGCACAAACATTCGCACACGAATCTCATTTCCTGTCTGTTTTGCAAGTGACCCTTGCAGCAGGAAGTGTGCGTTGCACGCGACGACAGAAATAGCTGAGAGCTCTTCTCAGTCTTACAGTGAAGCACTTTCAGGGGCCGCTCATACTCGCCCCGTCATTAAGAAGCCATGCTTAACTTTCTGTGAGGACACAACACTTCAAAGCAAATAACCGTGTCCTTCTGACACCGCAGTTTTTGACAGGTGAAATGTGTTTGTGTGACTGTTTCTGCTGTTTGTGTGGTTTTCCCCTTACGCTCTGCTGCTCACTGCAGACTTTATATCTTTATGATGAGAGCAAAGTCTGCAGAGCACTGTTCCACTTTAAAGGTTTGCTTTGTTAGCGTGAGCACAGTGACTGCAGCAGTGGGCTCTGTGTCCGAGACCCTTCATGTGCTGAGCAGCCTTCAGAGTCAAAGCCATAGTTTGAAAAGTGTTGAGCTAACATCACAATTTCAGTTCCTACGAGCTGATAGGACCACGTGTGTTATCGTCAGCCATACGCTCAGTGTGTCCATTTTTTAAATACAGGCTGAAACCAGCGACGTTCAGTGAGTCCAACATGAACAGCCTGAGGCTGTACGATCGAGTTAAATGTTAACTTTACCAGAGAAGCCTCTTGATCGAGCAAAGTTAAGCTTTGTGGCGTTGCTTGATCACACCTCCTCAGCCGTGAGACTTGGACCCTGTAGGGTTTGGTTTAGACACCATCCATGTACATCGTGTTATTTAGATGTGGGTTGTCCAGAGAAGCATTAGTAGTGGATGAAGTGGACATATAACCTCTCATATGCTGAGAACTCGAACATGGAGGTGGAGCAGGTCAGCTTGGTGGCTTCATTGCTGGATGTCAAAGTATACTGGGCGAGACACTGGAAGCACCAGTCGCTGCAGATGTGTTTGAGTGTGAAAGATGTAGAAAAGATGCTCGTATGAATGTACGGGTGAAAGAGACCTGCTGTATAAAGTGCTGGAGTATGTTAGAAAAGCTGCATAAGAACCAGATTTTACCATACAAATCTGTACTGCTGAATACAAGCGTGTGTAATAATAATGATGATGATTTTAGTTAAACAGAAATATTCTTCTGATCATTTAGTTTCATGTCTTCCACAAAAAGAAGCGAGACATCGGTGTGGTCCGGTCCTCCACCGCCGGGTCTGTGCTCTTCAAACGGACAGTGACCATCTGTGTTTTTTTTCTCTTTGACCTGTTTGTTAATCTCACGTGGTGACGTTGTGATCATGTACTAAAATCTGCACATATACCTGCTTATACTTGCACACCAGAAACTAATTCTCATGGATCAGAGTTGTTTATTACACGTGACACTGGAATATGTACGGAGGGAACATAGAGGTTGAAATCATGCTGCACTTTCTTCAGGCTCCTCGCGTGG